GGGGGGGGGGGGCTGCCACCTGGGGGAGCTGCAGGGTGACACTGCTGCTGGCAGGAATGGCCAAGGATGAGAGAAACCCATCAATCTGTGTGACTCCGGCCTGCTCGATCCCTTCCGCGTCGCTCGTCCAGGGCAGGGGGCGCCTACGTCACTCAGTTCCACCTGGCCCAGAGGGGAGGATCTTCCCTAGCCCCCCGTCTCACCTCCTCCTCTTCCTCCTCGCCCTCCTCCTCGGCTGTCCTCCTCCTGGTGGAAAACCAGCCCATCCGACTGCTCCCTCCAGCGCAGGCTGGTGTTCCCCATGGACACGGTCCGGAAGAGCTCGCTGCGTATCTGAAATCACAGCACCGGGGCGTTGGAGTCGGTCGGTCCTGTTTCCCTACGGAGGCCGCGTTTCCCTGCAGAGAACGTCCCGCAGCCCAGAAAAGTCTGTGGACAATAGCGACAGTGGACATGCCCAGGAACAGAGGTGTAAACCTGTTCACATTGCCAGTCAGAGCCCTGAAACTAGTTCTATCAGCATTGTCACCCCGTGACGGGGGTGTTCATGCATAGCCGGGGCTTTGTAGCTTCACCAGTAAAGTAGTAATGATTGCTTGCACTTACATAGGGCTTTTCTGGACACTCCACTCAAAGCGCTTTACAGGTAAAGGGGGAATCCCACCGCCGCCACCAATGTGCAGCCCCCAGCTGGATGATGCGCCAGTCTGCTTTACAGGTCAGGGGGAATCCCACTTCCCCCACCAATGTGCAGCCCCCACCTGGATGATGGGACATGTAGCTCTCAGTGGGGAGGAGAGCAGAGGGATGAAGCCAGTTCACAGAGGGGGATTATTATGAGGAGGCCGTAATTGGTAAGGGCCAATGGGAAATGGGTCCATCCAGCTGAGAACTGAATCGCCGTTGAAATTGAAAACTTGTGGAATGATTTTGATTGGTGCATCAGCAGTCCCCTCTATAATTGATTTAATGGACCTTTTGAAGAGAAGATCCCTTTATTGGCCCTATACAATTTCTTGCATGAGGAATTGGTCTTGTCGCAGACCCCAGCTGGCTCTCCAGGAGACACACAGACGGGGAGAGAGAGAGAAGCTGGGGGGTCAGAGCGCAGGGTCTGCCATTTATACGGCACCCCTGGAGCAGCTGGGGTGAAGGGCCTCGCTCAGGGGCCCCAACGGAGTAGGATTCCTCTGCCGACCGTGGGATTTGAACCGGGAAGCCCTTCCAGCCGCAGGCGCAGATCCTGAGCCACAGAGCCACCCCACTTGATGGGATGAGCTAACCTTTCCCAATCTAGGCATGCCACACGGGCACGGAGCTGTCCGCACAGAATTATGCCTGTGATTTCAGATAACAAGGTACGTCCACCGAGCACTAAACCTCAGGGGTGTGGACGCGTATCCAATCTGTTGCTCTCGGTTTTCATTTGTCGGAACGTTTCCGAAGGTCTTTTTCCGATTGGGGGTCGTGGGTCACACAGCGTAAATATGGGTAAAATAAATTGTATTTCGATTTCGGCATGCGAGATCTCGACGTGTGTTTGTATCGAAGGAGTGTGCAGGCTTTCTACAGACATTGTGTTTTAAGGCGGGGTGTGATAAACTGATATGGTTCTTTAAGGACGAGGAGTAGGACGAGGTCTGTAG